GTTCTCCTCAGGACCCAGACCAGACGGGTTCTCCTCAGGACCCAGACTCTCAGAGCCGGGGAGACGAGCTCGAACCTGAAAGTAGGCCAGACCCGCGGATCGATCGCGCGCATCACAGGCTTAGTTAGTGGGAGAAACTGTTTATCTGTCCTGGTCACGGCGGCTCGGTTCTAGAGAGGAGAACCCAGAACCTTAGAGTTCCTGTGCGTAAAGATCCAGCGGGAGGTCCCCGCGCGAGCAGCCGGACTGCGGCGCCTGCAGCCCGGCTGTCACCCGCGCACGCGTCGGCCCTGCTCGTGAAAACTAGAGGCGATAAAAGCGAGGCATGAAGTCAGGACGCAGTCCGCTCGCTGCGGAGGACCGAGTGTCCAGAATTAGACCGGGACAGACGGGAAAGTCCAAACTTTCCGAACTTACCGTCCTTCGCGTTCTGCGCTCCCCCGCCGCGCACACTGCAGCACACATGAAGGTAAAATGTAATCCACAGGCACGCTTTGGACCTGGACAGCATGGCGCCGCTGCGGGGTTCTCTCTAGACCGTGACTCGCTCTGCCAGCGGTTCTCCTTGTTCCCATGGACGACACTGAACCGGGTCTAGGATCCACAACCCGCCGCTCCACGCTCTAATACAGACTAATGCAGATGGGAGGAGTCTGCGCGTGCCAGGCTGTCTGTCCGGGAGACAGACGGGGCTTTCAGCCAATAGAAGCTCAGCAAATGACGTCACGAGGTGGGCGGGCCAATGGCGTAAATCGAGATCTACCTAAAGGAACTATTTTCTCCTCCACTCTGTGGCACGAGCATGAGGGGTTACTGGAAATTCAACAATTCTCTTTTGAAAGATACAGTTTTCAACAATACAATTAAAAACCTTGTTAAAGAAATCCTCAATGATGGCACAAATGATCAATACCGGTTTAAATGGGAATTTTTCTAATATAAAGTCAGGTCTGCTGCTATTAAAAGAAGTAAAGAGCTAAAGAATGAAAACACAGAATAGAAACCGAAGTAATGTACAAACTTAACGACTTAGTGGGAAAAAAAATTACCACAGAGGAAGTGCTTGAAATTAAAAATGTTCAGTTGAAGTTGGATCAGTTTTATTTAGATGTGGCAAAAGATTAATTTATCAGATCTAGAGCTGCAGTAAACGGTTGGAGGAAGGTGAAAAGAACACTAGCTACTTTTTTGTTCTCGAACAAAGAAATGCAAAGAGAAAATCTTTAACAGCTCTTAATACTGATGGAACGCTGTCGACAGATCCAGATTCAATCAATAACTCCATCTCTGAATTTTATGAAAACCATTATCAATCTAACTTTGATGCAAATCATTTAGCTGATTTTTAAAATCATATTCATCTTAATGTACCATCAATTGACAAAATCTAAAAAATTTAAATCTCATTGTGATTCTAGCCTTTCAATTATAGAAATCGTGGGTTACGTACTGTAACCCCAGATTCTATTTCGTGTAGGCTTTGCCCTCTAAGGCTGTCGCTGGTGGGTTAAGGGCGAAGCAGATGTAGTCCTCACCTCACTGGGTTCATTCGAACACCATAAGAAGCGCCTGCTTGCCCAAAAACATCTTGTCACTCAGCTTTCCATGTGCACAAATACGCATTGTGTAATTACGCGCACCATGCACAGACGCGCGCTGCGTAATTTACGCGTTCCGAGTGCATGAACGCCCCGGATAGGTTTTCAACGGAAAAGAGGAGAGGCTGAAAAAGGCCGTGAACAGAGCAGATCCACGGTTCTTCAATATGAACAGATTAATAACAAATGAACTGATTATTAATCAAATGAACTGATTGGTAACAATAAAACCAGAACAACAGTCATAACCTGTGACTGATAACATCTCACACTGTAATGCATGCAGTCAGTTGTGAGTTTAAATGAGGTTCCATGAAACAACAATATTAATTCTGTAAAGCACTAAGGACAGAATGTGTCATGGAACGAGTCGACACATCACGTAAATAAAAGTGAATAAATGAACAGGGTGTTGACCACGCGGCTGCAGTGCAAATATCCTGCATTGTCATACCATTATGCAAGGCAGTCGAAGATGCGATACCTTTGGTCGAATGCGCCCTGAGGTTGTCAGGAGGCTCTAAATCTGATGCTCTGTAGGCTTCAGAAATGGCCTCACACAGCCAGTAAGTGCTGGGTGGATAACGGGCGACATGCAGATGCGTCTCTATAGTGCACAAACAAATGTTGAGACTGACGCAGTGCCGCCGTGCGTGTTACGTAACACGTCAACGCACGTACAGGGCAGAGCAGATGGAAAGATGCTTCTTCTTCTGATTTGTGGGGGGGAGGGAAAAATCTCCAACGAAATCACTCTTGATTTAAAGAGCTCGTCATGTTTTAGGCATAAAACGCTGCATTAAGCCTCAGATCAGCTGAGCTGCCATCAGCCTGAATTCTGAGACATGACGGAGCGACAGAGAGGGCAGATAAATCACTCACCCTCTTAGCGGATGTTAAAGCCAGCAGCAGGGCTGTTTAAAGAGACAAGAATTTAATCAGAACCTGATCCAGTGGCTCAAATGGAGCTTTGATCAGGGCCTGCAGGACCAGCGTTAAATCCCACTGTGGAGCAAGTGGGTGTGAAACAGGCCTGCGTTTCTGTACACCTTTTAAAAAACGCTTCATCAGCAGATGATTAAAAGCTGTTCTTTCCCCGAAAACCTTCGTGACAAGAAGAGATGGCTGCAGTGTACGTTTTAAATCGTGTTGAATGCCAGATTTCTGTCCATCAGCTGCTGCAGAAAGGACAGCACGCCACCTAGTGGACATGAAGTGGCCTCCACCTTTCTCTGTACACCAGCGCTGAAAAGCTGTCCACTTGATGTGTACAGCACTGTGGTAGATGCAGCACGTGAATCCTGGATCGTACGTACTACATCTTGAGAGAGACCCATCCTCTCTAAGTGGATCCGTTCAGCGGCCAGACTCAAAGGTGCTGGTCTATTTCTGGGTAACTCCTGATCGCTCCTCCCGCCTGGAGGAGAGCATCCTCCCTCCACGGCAGTTTCCACGGGCGCCCCGATAACAGGCGTCATAGAATTGGGAACCATGGTGCATTCACATGCTCGGGAGCCACCAGGAGAGCTGTCAGTCCCTCCTCCTGAACTCGGTTCAGAAACCGTAATATCAGAGGAGGTGGGGGAAATGCGTAAAGAAGCGTTTTAGGGCTGCAACTAACGATTATTTCAATAATCGATTCATCTGACGATTATTTTTTCGATTAATCGATGAATCGGCAAAAAAAATAAAACGTTTTAATTTCCACCCCTTTATTCCAAAATTGAACATTTGACTGACATAGCAATTCACACTAAAAACAGGTTGCTATTTGACTATTGTGTTAGTAAAATATTGAATAATAAAAAATAAAAGTTAGTCAAATAGCTTAAAAAAATAAATGTACACAAAAATATAAACAAATGTATCTTTATACCTGCAAAATATGTAGCTACTTTGTAAAATGTGTCATTGAGGGAAGAGTGTAACCTGGATTAAAAGTGTGGATTATTGTAATCTGGATTAAAAGTGTGGATTATTGTAACCTGGATTAAAAGTGTGGAT